CTTTAGTGGAGATTGTTAAAAGAAGAAGATCCAAAACTATTCCACTCCAAATCCACTAATTGTGGATGTTTCTGCTTTCAGAAAATGAAGTTGGGCACTTCATGGGGCCCGTTGTGTTGCTCATCTCTTTTAAGGCACTTGCCTTTAAGTGCTGAAGAACTATTTCCTAAATACTATTTATTTATTTGCAGATTATATCCTACTTTTTGTCCAGTAGTTCAGGGCAGTGTACACAGTCCTCCCTGTCCTTGATAGGATATATTGGGTTGAAGGAGAATAACAATAGCTTAGGCCATGAGTGAAATTTAAATATGATACAGATTGGGGGGGGAATAATAATAATAATAATAATAATAATAATAATAATAATAATAAGTTGGAAGGGACCTTGGAAGTCATCTAGTCCAACCCCCTGCTCAGGCAGGAACTCTACACCATTTCAGACAAATAGCTGTCCAGTCTCTTCTTTAAAACTTCCAGTGTTGGAGCATTCACCGCTTCTAGAGGCAGGTTGTTCCATTGGTTAATTGTTCTAACTGTCAGGAAGTTTCTCCTTAGTTCTAAGTTGCTTCTCTCCTTGATCAGTTTCCATCCGTTGCTTTTTGCCCTGCCTTCAGGTGCTTTGAAAAATAGCTTGACTCCCTCTTCTTTAGGGCAGTCCCTGAGATATTGGAACACTGCTATCATGTCCCTCCTCATCCTTCTCTTCATTAAACTAGACATACCCAATTCCAGCAACCGTTCCTTATATGTTTTAGTCTCCAGTCCCCTAATCATCTTTGTTGCTCTTCTCTGTACTCTTTCTAGAGTCTCAGCATCTTTTTTACATCATGGTGACCAAAACTGGATGGAGTATTCCAAGTGTGGGCTTACCAAGGCATTGTAAAGTGGTATTAATACGTCATGTGATCTTGATTCTATCCCTCTGTTAATGCAGCCCAGCACTGTGTTGGCTTTTTTGGCAGCTGCAGCACACTGCTGGCTCATATTTAAGTGATTGTCTACTAGAACTTCGAGATCCCTCTCACAATTACTACAATTGAGCAAGGTACCCCCTATACTATACCTATACATTTGGTTTTTCTTGCCTAAATGTAGAACCTTATTTTTCTCACCATTGAATTTCATTTTGTTAGATAGCACCCAGTGTTCAAGTCTGTCCAGGTCTTCTGGAGTGTTGGCTATTCCTGCCTGTCTTCTGGAGAGTTGGCTATTCCTGCCAGCTTGGTATCATCCACAAATTTGATGAGTTCCCCATCTATCCCCTCGTCCAAATCATTGATGAAGATATTGAAGAACACTGGGCCTAGAACAGAGCCCTGGGGCACCCCACTACACACTTCCCTCCATGTAGATGCAGTTCCATTGAGGACCACATGCTGAGTACGGCCGGTCAGCCAGCTAGTAATCCATCTGGTGGTGATGCTGTCTAATCCACATTTTTCTAAATTATCGAGTAGTAGGTTTTGATCTACTTTATCAAATGCCTTACTGAAGTCCAAGTAAATTATATCCACAGCATTTCTCTGATCCACTAATTTTGTCACTTGGTCGAAGAATGCAATATGATTTGTCTGGCATGATCTATTTTTGACAAACCCATGTTGGCTTTTAGTAATGACTTTGTTTGCCTCTAGGTGTTTGCTGATTCGTTGTTTGATTATCTTTTCCAGAATCTTCCCAGGTATTAAGGTCAGGCTGATAGGTCTGTAATTTCCTGGATCCATTTTTTCCCCTTTTTTGAAGATGGGAACTACATCAGCTCTTTTCCAGTCCTCTGGTAGTTCCCCAGTGCTCCAAGATCTTTGAAAGATATAGTTCAGTGGTTCTGAGATCTCATCTGCCAGTTCCTTGAGAACCTTGGGGTGTAATCCATCTGGTCCTGGTAAAACAAGATCAGATGATTTTGGGGGGTGCTTTGTCTGTGTACATGTTGCATTTCACTGGATGCCTTGAAATGCATTGTGGTGCATTTCACTACAATGATTCTATGTCACATAGCGTTTGTTTTTTACTAGTTGTAACTTGGTAGAGAAAAGAAGGAAATGAAACTAAAGAAGAGTCCCTGGTTATTTCTCTTCCACACATGTAACATCTGGCAAGAAAAAGTATTAATTAAAGGATGATATTGTTCATAGCATTTCTTTATACATGGTAATGGTTTCCTAGTACAAGTCAATCATTACTCACTATAAACACTCTTGATTATAAATATAATTATAATTCATTAACAAAAAGAGACATTTATAAATGCATGGCTTTCTGTTTTTGTTCTACCAAATAAAGTTTCAGTAGGAAAAAAAATCTAAGAAATATATTCATTTCAACTATATGAGTAATTGTGTGTCCGTGGAGTTGTTTTTGGTAAGATGGATGGCTATGTAAATTTGATTTAAAAAAATTAAAAAAAACTTTCAAGCTTTTTTTTACTTCTTCTCTTGGACTCCGTGTACTATTTCTTCAGGATTCATATTTATGGAATATAAAAATGGCTATTATGACACTCCTCAAGTGTGACTGAATATTGACAGCCTGACAATTCAGACTGAGAAATAAAGAAGTATCTCTCTTCTCCAGAGAACATTAAGGATTGAAAAAGCAACAACAGTAGCAGTAGTCCACTATACCATGGGTCTTCAAACTTGGCCCTTTTATGACTTGTGGACTTCAACTCCCAGAATTCCTCAGCCAGCATGCCACAAGTCATAAAAGGGTCAAGTTTGAAGATCCCTGCACTATACCTTTCTAAAGACATTTTAAAGGAACAACTGCTAATTAAAAAATGCCTGATGAGATCTGAGGAAGATCAGCAGTCACAGAATGTAGAATGATAGTTGGAATAGTAACCTAAAAAGGGGGTGAGGAACACAGAATGGTGAATCCTGTAGAAAGACATATGTCATGTGTCTGATTAATGAAATGACAACATAACTGGTTGATTGGCTTGACTTTTCTAGTTTGAAAGGTGGCTATAGTGTAGCATTTACAGGCAGATGATATCAAAGCCTGTTAGAAAAGCACAAATAGATAGGTTTCTACCTCAAGAACAATTAAGTTAATGTTTGATGTAGGAGTTGCAGGAGAAGGATATAGAGGCATGGAAAAACTATTGAGAGCTGTGCCAAGTTGCTTAAGATGGGCAGCCATATAAATCTTTTACATAAATAAATAAATACATACATAAATAAAAAAACTGAATTGGGATTGGTTATAATGTATAGCAGTGGTTCTCAACCTGTGGGTCAGGACCCCATTTGGGGTCGAACGACCATTTCACGGGGGTCGCTAAACAACGCAGTCCGCCATTTTTTCCCCCTTTTCCTTAGCTGTGCTACTCCCTTTTATTCTATTGGCTTTTGAAAGCCAATAGAATGGACTCTCTTGAATAGAGTCTAATTCTATTGGCTTTCAAAAGCCAATAGGAATTGTCCAGGCTGTCTCTGCCCTGCTGAGCCCGCCAAAAGTCCCATTCTGCAAACGGTGCTGCACCAATTGAGTAGTCCTCAACTTACGACCGGTTGAGTAGTCCTCGACTTACGACCGGTTGGGGGTCGCGGCATTAAAAAGATTGAGAACGACTGCTGTATAGGATACTGAATTAAGGAGTTCTGTAGTGCTTTAAGAAAAAAAGAGACTTTGAAGAGGGATCTGAAGGGAATGCTCAGTTGGTATACATTTAGGCAGGGGTCTTCAAACTTGGCCCTTTTATGACTTGTGGACTTCAATTCCTAGAATTCCTCAGCCAGCCATGCTGGCTGAGGAATTCTGGGAGTTGAAGTCCACAAGTCATAAAAGGGCCAAGTTTGAAGACTCCTGCATTTAGGTCAGAACCGATCCATTCTTTATTACAATCATTGATCAGAATGACAAGTCACCACAGATTTGCAATAAATATTGCAGTGTGGAGTGCTGCTTTTTTTTAGTGGTACTGCTTGGCAACAAATTTAAATGTACCTCAATTTTGTTGTTGGCACGTAATTGAGAACCAGAGTTTCTCAGATCAGAAATCATATAGCATACTTGATAGCTGCGTCCTCTTGACTCATACTAGTGATGCATTCCCCTGTACAACATTATAAGGGCTATAGCTTTTTGAAATCATTCACTATGGTTTCTTAGGGCAAAGTGTTCACCCTGTGGCCAACAGTATATATTAGAAGATGGATGAGATGACCAGAGAACATAGCTAGAATTTACACTATATGAATGGGGGAGGTCAAGATGCAGCATTCTGATTTTTACCTGTCTCTAGCATTTTGAAAAATGCTATTACAACTAATATACATTTCCAAAGGTTCCAATAATTCAGCAGATTAACAGTTTCTCATATAATATTACTGAAATGTTGAATTGTCATAATATTATTCTCATCCTGGTTAAAGCTAGATAAACTGAATTTAGGTTTAACTGAAATCAGTGGTATTAAATCTTGGACCCATAAAGTCTTGTTTTTGCAATCTTTCTTTCGAATATGTCTCTACTAGTTCTGAACTTTAAAATCATGGTTTTACTTGGAGGTTCACAAAACTCCAAGTAGGAACAATTGTGGACAACATTCTTGTTCTAGAGCAGGGGTATCAAACTGCCAGCCCATGGGCCGGATGCATCATGCCAAAACCATGCCCACCCCAGCTCCGGCAATGGGGGAAAAGTCATGATATATCGCGACATGTCACGTGATGTGGCGAGTTTGACACCCCTGTTCTAGAGCAATGAAATCATACCCCCACAGGAGCTTGGAATAGGATATCTACACAGTTACAAGAAAACCCCAGTGTGCATTAGCTTTGAGGACTCTGTGTGTGTGTGTGTGTGTGTGTGTGTGTGTGTGTATAAAGCACAAGCAAGAGTGTGCAGGCAAACCAATACAGAACTTTTCAGAATTCTGGAATCTGAACATTATTATCCTACTTCGTATTTATCGTACTTATTCATCAATTGTTAAATTGCTATTAAGATTTGTCTATTTTTGATACTATTCTATCTTTGTCCTCAATTAGAGTCTGGATTTGGTTTTTAAGCCATTTGCAGACAGCATTGTCATGTTGCGTGATGAGAAGTGGGAAAAGGTCCGGAGCATATTGACCCCAGCCTTCGGTATTGCAAAGATAAAAGAGGTAAGATGCAGGCAGGTATCACAATCGCACATACGAAACCCTTTTCTTTTTCTTTCTGCTCTGTTTCCCAAATGTGCACTATTACATAAAAAGTGACCCACTCATCCACTGCAACATGGTTAATGCCTTACTGGCTGCCTTTGCAGAATCACTGCTCCCTTAAGGAGAAGGGTTTCTCAGTATATCAAGGTGTTTAATTAGAAAATGAAGAATGAGCTTAGTTTCAACTGGACAAATAACCTTTATGCAGTTTATCTGTGTTTTTCTATCAGATTTGGACTCCAGATCCCTGTGATTGATCTCTCTCCCTCCCCAAAGGATATGACATTAGAAATCTTTATACTACTTTGGAATCTCTCCAAAAATTGGGAGGTACCTATAAACACAGGAAGACCAATTTCCACATAGAAATTCAGTATATATTTGGCAGAAATGTTTGGTTAGCATTTGTTCACAGAATCTCAACTAGAACAACTTTCATGTGTGAAATACCATAAAACAATAATATCTATGACACTTGCTATTCAGTAGGTTCAGAAGAACAGTGCAACACAACATCCATTGCATTTAGAGCATGCACAACTGCTCTACGCCCTGTTTTTGACAAAAATCTAACAGCTGAATTTTTGAGGTGACCAGTAGCTACATTTTTTTATTATTTTTTGTACATGGAACTGCATAAGTTCAAATCGTTATTTGCTGTGGATGTAAGCTTTTTTTAAAAAAAAAAAATACACAAATGAATCAGTCCTTTGCAATCTAACAATCTCTTGGGGAAAGCAGGGATTGGAAATACTCCTTTCCTGCCATGGTCTCTATGTGATGTGATACGTCTCTATGTTTCACAACCTAGTCTTATCCAAGAACTTGATCTAATTGGTTTCATAATAACTTAGGCCAAGGGTAGGCAACCTTGGCTTTTTTATGACTCATGGACTTCAACTCCCAGAATTCCTGAGCCAGCATGGCTTGCTCAGGAATTCTGGGAGTTGAAGTCCACGAGTCATAAAAGAGCCAAGGTTGCCAACCTCTGCCCTAGGCCATTTTCCTATAGTGACTTAAAGTGTTTTCATAACATTATCCAGGCATCAGTGCAGCAAAGAAAAGCCTATCCTTATTACTCTTATTTGGCACAGGGATATTGAATAATGCCAAATGAAGTTATAAGTCACTACTGTGGAAATGACCAGTTTCACAGTGCCAATGGGAAATTTCCTGACTTGATTCCCCCCCCCCACTTATATAAGCATATCTTTTCTTCAAGAGCTTTCCAGCGGGCTAGCTTTATTAATCTTTTTGCAGAAAAATGAGGAATGTTGTGGCACATTAAAAATTAATAAACCACATGAGATTACATGAATGACTTTAAAATTGTTGTGGCAGTTTAAAAAAAAACTCATTTATTAGTGCATAAGCTTTGCAGGGATTATTGAGCACATGGCCTTTGATAGCCAAAGTTTATGCAATAATGCATTTGTTGGCCTTTGAAGTTACCACAAGACATTATGTGTTTTGTTTCCCTAGAGTGTCCTCAAAAGTAAAGCTACCACAACATTTAAACACTTCATATTTAGTGTACAAAAATTGAGATTTCCTCAAAGATGCATCATTAAAAAGTGCATTTTCTTAAAAAAAATACTTTTGAGAACAAAGGCTTAGGGCAGGGGTCTTCAAACTTGCTGGCTGAGGAATTCTGGGAGTTGACGTCCACAAGTCATAGAAGGGCCAAGTTCGAAAACCCCTGGCGTAGGGTAAATAATTGGAATCTATGTTGTGTGTTTTGCAAATAAAAAGAATTCATCTCTGGATTGCTATGAGTTAGAATAGGGAGGGCTGCGTGTGTTAGCATTTACTGGCCACAAACTGACCACATCAGCTATGTGAGTTGGGCTTTGTTGTAGGAGTATTATTTAGTTTTTAACTTATCTCTGCTTTAACCTTAGTCTCAGATTGCATATCAGATGTAAGAATACATTTCTACTGTCCATAAAATCAACTCGGATAGCAAATAGCAAATGTTTTGTAGACAGCTTAGGAAAGTTGCTTTATTATAGACAAGAAATCATATATATGCAAAACACATAAATCAGACTGCCTGCCTCTCTTGCTCTCTCTTCCCTCTCTCCCACCCCAAGTTTTAAATCCCAAATCTTTTCCTGCTTTTTGTCTTTTGAAGACATTTCCCCAGCCTTGTGATAAGAGGGTTTGCACAACCCTTCTGGCTGGCCCATGCACAGCTTGTTCCTGCTTTGTCGACATCAATGCCTACAATATTATATTTCTTCATCTGTTTCCCAACTCAAATAGTGGAAAATAGTGCTGTCACTTTTCAGCATCCAATGCCAGAGGAGACTTTAAAGTCTGCTAAAAGGGGGGGGGGGAATTGGCTGCAAGTTACCCACCTTTAAATTAAAGCTTGTGCTGATATGATAGTCTGCATTTAGCTAACACAGTTTGGACTGGCAACTTGGTTGTTAAACAAAATGGGTGTTTAGAGAAATTGCAACTGTGCTTATGATTTTAAAGTATTTTGGCTTTCTATTGCTTTACAGAACTGCAAAGGCTGTAAATGTGAGAATTGTTTTTAAAATTACTTTTTCACTATCATTATCATCATCATAACTGCAATGGTTGTTGTATGACACATTCACTAAATGAGGACTGCCTGAAGCTATTTCTCTAATTCTCTTCATTTGTATGTTTATTTATTTTTTTCATATAACTTGTTGCAATATATACAGACATATTTCTACGAATAATTCTCTGGGCTCACATACAAAACGGTATGTGCAAAATAAAATGACAATTTTTTAGCACATGCTTATTTTTATCCAATTCCCCACAAAAATGTTGATTTTTACTTTGCCAGCTCTGCCCCTCCATAGCATTATTAGGCTCTTCCAGGAAAGCAATAGGTTTTACGTTCCAGCTCAGATTAACACAAGCGCGTGAAATGCAATACAGCAATATAGTCCCATTAGCCTAGTGCCTATTTTACTCAAACCAACTGAAAAATTGGATCCTGTTTTTGCTAATAAGAAGTATATCTTTCTTGTACAAGTGGGATTTGCCTAGATGACTGCTCAGGAATGGTAATTACTCTTTCGTTGGTAATTTGGCCTTACCCATGGCCTGCCCTAGAAAAAGGACTCTTGCTGTCTTCTAAATAGATCATTTCAGAATTAATTTCTCTAGATTATAGTCATGTATCTCTTAGAGAGGGCCTCTGAAAGTGTTTGGGGGTATTAATTTCTCTTGCTTCCTAGTCTGATAGCCTATTTCTCTATATCCACTCATCAAGCATCTGGAGACTTAATTTATCATGAGATAAACTTCCAGTTCATTAATATGTTCTCTTAATTGAAAATGAAGATAGCATTTCCATTACTGAAAATTCATCTCCAAACAGTATATACAGAGAAGATCATTCTTTTCCCTCACAGTCATATTCTTAAAAAGGAAATATATTTCTCACCCCATTGGCTGTTCTTTGGTTAGAAAATAAAATTACTGGACATAAGCCTATGTTGTTTTGACATGTTGCTGTCGAACTCTGCAGTAGCATCTAAATGTGTCTGGCTTCTTTAGTTCTATAGACAGCTGTTGCTTAGCAACACCAGCTGTCACCCCCTTATTATGGTAAATTCTAATTGGCCATAAGCCTGCGAAGGACCCCTGATTAATCAGAACTGACAATATCATTGGTAATGTACCTAGACAACTAGCTTACTCCCTGGTTTGATAGTGAATTTGACAGGACTTAAAGTAAGGGAAGCAATAAATGCAAATGTGCTCTCTATAATTTGGAGGGAGAGAGGCTAAAGAAGAGAGTTTTGTATTGCCTTGACAGAAATTAATCCCTCTTACTGTGGGTCATTGGCATAAGACAAATCTTTGCCTCCCTTCTTTCCCCTCCTTAAATCTAACAAAAGATAAAACCTCTGGTATACACAGAGCCAGACCCTGCTGGCAGGAGCCAGACACGCTTTAGAAGGACAAATAGTTCCTGGATATTGTGCTTTGCAGGGATAGATGTCTCTGTTTACAGAGTTAATTATTTAAGTCAAGAGGAAGATTCACACTGTTGCATTTTAAGCTGCACAATGTGAAGGAAAGCAAAAAATGTCCAGAGAGGAAAGGGAGCAGTAGTCTCAGAGAAGAAAATTACAAACAATTGCCCTTTTAAAACAACAACAGAATATTTTTATTCATGCTTCATAGCAAGTCATTTTAACAAGAAATAAGCCACAATCGAGTAGATTCATACAATATAAATCACAGGTTACAAAATCTTAAAGATTGGCAAGTATATTATACACAGCTTATACAACATCACCATCCATGCAGAGAACATTTGCATTAGCTGTAAAATAAAGAGAAATGGGGGAGGCCACCAAATAGCCCACTGGGAATTAAAAGCATGCACAGAAGAGCCACAGAATGCAAGGGTGTGGGGAGGGGGGCAAAGACAAAATAACAAAAGGGAGTGCAATGCAGTGCAATGCTTTATTTTGAAAGTAGATATGACAGATACCTGGAGCCAAGGTGGTTTTTAAAAAATATATATCTGAATTGATCTGGAGGAGGAGAGGAGTGTTGTTATTTACCTGAACCTACAAATAGCAATAAAGAACAAAACAGAAGCAAAGGGACAGCAGGAGGCAGTTCAGTTTTCATTTGCATTCCATTTTACTTTTTCTATGTAAAGCTTGAGTTCAGAGGGAAAATATGTTGCATTTCAGTATTTAGCATGATAAAATGCTACAGTTCTATTCCAACCAAGGAATATATGAGGATTGTAGGTTTTTATCTCTATAATGACTAGATTCTGTTGTTACTCAATGTTGCCCACATTATGTTTTATGCTGCAATCTCTTTCCTGAGGGCTGTCTTCATATGTCTGGCCTGACAAATTCACTATTTTCAAATATGCGTTTCTGATCATTGTTCCATCTGTGTGATGATGCGGTGAACTCTTTAATGAGCACCTGGTCTCATGT